AAAAAGTTGTTTGTTTTTTTCATTTTTAAGATAAAATTCTCTTTCTATAATGATAAATATTTGATTGACATTTAAAAGCTATTTTATAAAGATTTTCAATTTCTCTTTGCGTTTTAGCTTCGATTTTTCGGATAGAATAAAATGACAGGCAGCCTACTCCACTGGGTCGAATTTTGCTGTGCAAATTCCTCCCGTCGGAGGGTTATGTTTACAACATAAGCTTGTCAGCTTTGCGCTGATTGGCTAGTCGCATTTTCTCAAATCACCCAGTTCGTATAACACTGGAACAAAATGTAAAATTGAAGCCGTATAATGAAATGATTGTCTTTGCAAAAGTGGAAGGCGCAGGGGGTCTGGTCGAACCACCTTATAGTCTCATTTTGCAGGCGTTAGGACGTTCTTTCCCAGGTTCCTCCCCCCCCCCCCCCCCCCCCCCCTAACGGCTGCTTATCCGGGCTTAACATTCCATTCCCTCTGTTTAAACAGCCAATCACAACGTGTGAGGTCTACCGGGTAAAATCTGTCTGTGTTTTGGTTTGGTTCGAAATCTAAATAAGTCAATATTTGTGGAATTTTATACGATAAATTGGGATCAGAATTGTTGATAAAGTGACGTGAAACTTGAACTGGAATGGGAAGCACGTAACAATAATCTATAGTTAAGTATCATTCGTTACATGTTGGCATGGTCTTTCAAAATGTCCACACTTCTCGACAAAAACGTTCAAACAGACCGTTACTTTTCCCATATTTTTGAATTATTTCCAATACAGCAGCATCTTTTTCTTGTTGTAGAAATATCAAAGCGAAAAATCATCCTGCTTTCCTTTTGTCAGACATCGATCTTTTACCGCGTCTAATCTTATTCAGCTTACATGCAGTTCTCAAGAAGTTTGCAGTTTACATGGATTGATATTTACGGATTATAGTAAGTTTGTCCAATCAAACAAAATCTATATGTCAATAAATTCAGAATACGGTCATAAACTCAATTGCACCAATTTAGATTAGACTCGACAAAAGATCGACGTCTGAAACAGGCCTTATTCCTCAAAGACAGCCTCAAGACTCTTGAAAGTAAATTTGTTTTTATCTTTCACAAATCAATCTCGCGGATATCCGAACGCGTCGAAGTAATGACAAATTGGCGCGAATATTTCTGTGCTTTGATTTCGCTTTTCATTTTGACTTTATATTACACCCACATGAACCCTGTACATGAAGAGACATTGAAAACATAAAACGTACAACCCTTTCAAGACACAACACATCAAACTCGCTCAGTCATTTATATATTTTCAGGTCTTCTAATATTTTATTTGAACCATTTGATTAGTTAAGCTAACATTTTGTCATTTGGAAATGAACTCTCTAACTTCTTCTTAGAGTTCGTCTCGGTCATTCATCAGTGCCTTGCAGTCAATATCCTTAATTTTGTCTTCAGGAATACCAGTCAATTTGGCAATTTCTGTAACACCTTTTTCTAGCAATTTACAGATAGTCCATCTCTGAGATAAAGAAGGTTTCTCCTCTTCTTCCTTTGAGGTATCGTCCTGGAACTTCAGACGCAATTTATGAGCTTTTCCTTTTCTTCCTCTTGCACTATCGCGTTGCTTATTTGAACTGCAATCGGGGTTGAATTTGAGAATTGCAGCGACTTTTTGTACCGTTTCTTGGATGTCTGCCTTGGATGGAAGTTGCACCATTGCATCAGTTGAGCACTGATCGTTATTGATGTTGGCCTGGGATGTGGTTTGTTGATAAATGCTGTCAAATGATCCAGTCCCTGACTTACATCTGAAAGAAGATAAAAATGTCACTCAAAACCATGACATTCTTTTATGATCCAATGAATGAAAATAAATTTGAAGCAAAAAGACGGGGGGGCTGGGGGGCCACGGCCTCCCCCCAGCTTTTTGCTTCCGAAAAATTAATAAATGAAAGCGATAAGATTAAAATAAAAAATACAAAAAAATCGATTATCAGAGCTCGACTATACTGAAGGCATATGTGACGACATGGAAACGTTAAAGAGACAGTCAACGTCAAATCCTGCGTCAGATACTGAAGGTTGAGGGTCCTATGGAATATTTTGATTGCATTGTTTCCGCAATTAAGAATCTATTCAAAGCAGAAAAAAGCTTAGTTAGTGAGGCGGTGACCCTATGTAAGCTGTTGGCAGTCAATCCAACGACCAGAGCTTCGAGCGAACGATCATTTTCGACGTCTGAAAAAATGGCTAAGATCAAATATGACACAGCAACGATTCAGCAATCTCACGCTACTAAATTGCCATAAGAGGAAACAGAGGAGCTGAATCTCATTGAAATCGCCAATGCCACTGGCTGGACACAACAACAACCGAAAGAAGAATTTTGTGCTCTTAAATCTATCAAATAAATTTTTATTGTTACGAGCAAAAATGCTTATTTTATTGTTTAGTTACGCAAAATTTCCATAAAATTAATGCATCATATATCTTCTGGATGCTCTTCCGAGGATTAAAACTACAAAATTTCCGGGGGGGACCATGCCTCAGGAGCCCCCTACAAAAATAGCGCCTTGTAGCGTGTGAACAAACAGTTTTGAACAGTACATTGATTAAAGTGAAAGTAACGCATTCTTGCTTTCACTATGTATTAGAATTAAAAAAATATATTCTGCGCTATAAATTTATATTTATACATAATCATATGATAGACATAATATTACATCATAATCTTATCGTGTTTAAAACATTTCACTCGTTCTCTTATACGCGCACCCATGTAATATCCTGTCTTTCTCAATTTGAGAGCGTCTAGCGTCTAGCATAAGTTTAAAATGAAGAGCATTTTATGTTAACTGAAAAGCATACCGATATCATTCAAAGTTTGTATATTATCCTTGAGAGAACACCTAAATTAAAAGATCGTTACGAAGTTTTGAACCAAAATAATGCTTTTTAAACAGAAATACGAGCGATCTAAAATTGGTAAGAATGTATGGGATATCACGTATCCATGCGTTTTAGACTAGTCAAGAAATACCCAAGCTTTGTTTTAAGATTCAAATGAATTTTGTTAAGTCCAAGAATGGATGATTTGGTAAAATAAAAAAAATTGAATTGTCCGAAATGACTTGGTATTCTTAGAGGCATATTACAACGTTTTCATGCTTTCAGTGTTTGGATACTCGCACTGTGTTTGAACTCTCTAAATCAAAGAATAAGTATGTACAAACCCTTTCACTATCAAACCAATGACCTCCAGTATCCTCACATAACACGTGAAAGGCTTTGTTATAAGTAAATCGAGCTTGGGATCCACGGTTTTCAGCAACCCTGCCAAGGACTCAACTGACATGTCTGGCTGGGCTTGTGGCATTGCCAAGGCAGAGGCGGCTTCCTGCACTGCAGTGGATCGTTGGGATTCATCAGGAAGTGTTTTCATTAAGGCTTGAATTGTCGACTTAAGACCACCCTTACCATTCTCTGCCTATTTTTGAAAACACATAGCACTGCCATCATTGTTGTCAGTATGTACAGCCAATCCATTTAATGTTGATCGCGCTCAACTACGATAACACGGCTACCTTTCGAGATGGGGCAGGGAACCGTGAAGAAGACTATTCATACTGTGAGCAAGAAGAGTCCTCTTCTACTAAAACTAAACAATCCCGGCCTTATAGAACTGACATACTTACGGCAAACATAGCGCTATTTATAACATCGGCATCCTGCAAATGAAAAAAAATTATATGAAATTTCTACCAAAAATCATTGCCTTCATCATTTACTTAGTAAATTTGCTTATATTTAATTTCTTCATGTCGCAATACTAGTATATATTACTGAATTCTTCATTGTCCATTTGTGATCGAATTTCGCATCAGTTGTCCAAATATAAAAGAATCAAGACGACGTGCATAAAGCTCCGTCAATCGTGAAAACTTCAAAAATGACTGCACGTTTTGCACGTCGCCTCTTCTTGGTTCCTTTGTGTGTGACTTAATGACATAATTTTTAAATTAAAATTACATCACCGAAAAATAATATTTAATATACGGTCAAAGCGGACTTGCACTGTTGATTAAACTTCAATAAAAGATTGATCATTAGTGTCTATTGTTCATTCAAACAACATGGCCGCCGTTCTTTTGTCTTTCCAATGTCATTGGGAATATTCTCCTTCACGGTTCCCTGCGCCATCTTGAAAGGTAGTCGTGCCTTTGCATCGAAGCGAGACAACCTTTGAGCGTGCAATGATAGAAACCTGTGAATAATTGTCTGTAGGTGTGAAAGAAGGTGTCTATCATTGCGGTTGTCTCGCTTCGATGTAAAGGCACGACTACCTTTCAAGATGGCGCAGGGAACCGTGAAGAAGACTATTATTTGAAAAGGGGTGACTGTGTTAACGCTAAGAACTATGGTCGCCAGAGAGGAACAGGATATAAACAAAAATAGAAAAGATAAACTAACACAATTGACATCCTAACGAAAAAGAATAAGGATATATCCAAAACACGTCAATTTGAAAAAGGGCGGAAAATGTGCACAGCTGAATTCGAACTCTTGGTCAATTCAATATGAAATATTCTTTCATTGATCTATACAGTTGAATTGTTAGAATGGTAATCCGACGTTTTTCAAATGGATTTAAGATATGGAATGGGAAGAAGCTTCCCGGATGCTCGTCAATATTTTCTATATTTGTTTTAGTTGGTGGGGAAGGGGTCAAGGGTGGGGGGACTTGCCTTTCCTTCGATCTCCTCCTTGGCTCTCTCAGCTGTTTTCGCTTCGTTCTGCTGCATAGCTTGATGTAGAGTCTTTAGTTTTGCTATCGCTTCAGTTGCTTTTGTTTCAACTTCCCGACATTGCATTGTGACCGATACGCTATTCACGCTTTCTTGCACTGTATAATGAAGATAATTTCATCTCGTTTTTTCATCATATTTTCTGACTTCGTCAGTTTCAAAAAAAGCACTATTTATCAACTCATCTCACATACAAATTGAAGGGGATGATAATTTAGGTCATAACTTCAAACAACCAACATTGTAACAATGATAAATTCTTCTCCCATGCCGCCTTTCAGTCTTGTGAATCCGTCAATTGAAATTCTTCGGGGAATTAACACATTATAGCAGGGTAATTAACACTCTTATAACAGCTCGATTAACGGAAGGGCGGTAGAATTACCGCTAAATAAAAGGAAATGATAAGTTTAGCCTAATGTCAAGTTTTCAGATGTGACTTCATTTGGTGGAATTCTAGAGTGACAATGTTTTTTAGACGATGCTCCAAAGTCCCATGAATTATTTGATATTTTTTCGAGTCTTAAACCTTTGGTTTTCCGTAATTATTGATTGTTTTTAGACATATTGATTGGTTTGGCATTAAAAGACTTCGAAAATTTTATCTTAAGGTAAAGTCATTGATCTAGGTTTAAACTAGAATCTTCAGTCCTTTACGACCTTATCAATTCTAGAATTTATTAATTATTTTAGAATTGATAAGTTCGTAAGACGAAACTAGTTTTCTCAATAAACTGCAGGTTTTATTTGTGTAAGGGACTAAATATTTTAGTTTAGATCGATGACTTTAAGAGGAAATTATTGATTGGAATACGCTCAAACTCGTTAAGTATGCTCTTGCTTGTCCTTTCTACTTCTTCATTGCTTCTACTGGAATCGAAACTCGTCACAAGCTTCTCTATGAATCAGCTGGAAACGACAATACTCTAGTTTCGAGATCTTTTTTGTGTAGCCTTAACCTCGAAACCATGTCATATATTCTTTTATTCAGCAGAGTTCCTTTTGTAATACAAAACGTCTGTTTACAAAGACGACAATAAAAATGTATGCTTGATTGAATCTAAACTTGCACAAAAGAGAATAGTCTCCTTCACGGTTCCCTGCGCCATCTTGAAAGGTAGCCATGCCTATACATCGAAGCGAGACAACCGTTGAGCGTGCATTGATAGAAACCTGTGAATAATTGTCTTTAGGTGTGAAAGAAGGTTTCTATCATTGCACGCTCAACGGTTGTCTCGCTTCGATGCAAACGCACGGATACCTTTCAAGATGGCGCAGGGAACCGTGAAAAAGACTATTTGAAACTGCTGGAGTATTTCAGAAATGACTTAAGGTGTTTCATAATGGTTGTCACTCCCTTACAATTTTTGAACGGCCGTTTGACCAACTTAATGTAACTCGATTTTCCTAAAATAAGCAAGCAATGTTGTACTTTTTTAATTTTTAAACATGTTTTGATTTTTAATTTAGTGCAAAAATAGCAGTTTTTTGGTAGAACGAAAAAAAGAAAGCAGTTTTCCGGTCAATTCGATGGCAAAAACCAAAAGTAGTACTTTTAACTGTTGGATATTGCTAATAATATATCTCAAACCCAAGAAAATTCTTCTGGCCGATTTTGAGAAAAACGACGTTAAACGTGTATGTGTTGCGTTTTTGTGCTTTTACGAACACGCTCACAATTGGTCCATATTCATGATGAAATGCCAATGTCTGACGCTCAGTTTTAATGATGTTAATAGTTAACTAAGGTTAATAGGGAGTGGAGCGGTACACTAGTATCGATCGTATTTCATTCAGTCGTTAGCGTTCATTCGTCAGCGAACATTGGGCTGTAGTCGTTCAGTTTTTTTAACCCTTCAGTTTTAAACCGTATGTCTTCAAAACGAAAAGCTCGCAAGGGAAACGAGGAATTTTACGGATAATAGTTTCGCTTTATTTAGCCTTTTCAATCCGTATTTTGTACGTACAAAATAAAGCGAAACTAGTATCCGTAAAATTCCTGGTTTAAATGCTTGTGAAAACAGAAGAACAAAAGTTAAACTTTAGATAAAATAGTGGATCGGCCACATCAGTGTCCTTATGCGAAAGATGTCTATTAATAAGCTAACGTGTTTACTGTGGAGTACAAACACTAAAACTGTGCAACATAAATACCCCTAATACTGCTAAATTATGCTAATCTTATAGTAAATAGTGGAAAGTGTTGCACACATTTAATGTTTGTACTCTACTGTAACTGGATTTTGTCGATAATTTAAATATATAGTTTCGCTTTATTTAGCCTTTTCAATCCGTATTTTGTACATACAAAATAAAGCGAAACTAATATCCGTAAAATTCCTGGTTTAAATGCTTGTGAAAACAGAAGAACAAAAGTTAAACTTTAGATACTTACACAACATGAGATTTTCAAGGTCTTTCGAAATCAAAATAAGGAACATTTCAAAGATTTATTTATCGCTACATGGACAACATTATTGCAAAGTTTCAGTTGGGTTGATGTATTTTAACCTGGTCAAAAAAATTAAAAAATTCGCTTCAAGACGCGTTCAAGAATTTATGTTTTAGCTCAATGGTCGACAGCGCACGAGAAAATATTTTTATATTTTTTTTTTGAACAGGTTAAAATGTATCACACACTGAAATTCTCGGTTTTCATCACGTGGTTTGATGTAAAGATATTAATTAATTGCTGACTTAAAAGATATTTTGGTTCTCGGATCATGCACAGCTGCTAAAAGGAA